TTTAAAATTAGAATTTTAATATTTCATTTAAAATGAATTTCTCATTAATTTAAATTGTTTCAAAAGTATAAGGAAATTTAGTAAACATAAATCCTTCAATTGATCCACAAAAAAATTTATCTGCAATTCATAAAAAAATAAAAATAATTAGTCTTTAAGAATTAAGTTTGAGCAATAATGCTTCAAATTTCATCTAAAAAATGTTTTACAGAGGGAAAAAATCCTCAGATTTAGAAATTGAAAAAAAACAACTTCTTTTTTTAAAGCTAATAAAAGCGAAATTTTTATAAAAATAATTACTAAGAGGTATGAAAAGATGAGTGCTCCAAAAATTCCTCAAAACTGATTTGTTTTTTATAAATTCTATAATTTGTTAAAGCTCCAATGCTTTAAGTATTTCAGAGGTAGTTTAAAATACTTGAAATGAAACATTCATTAAAAAAATGCTTCAATTAATTGAAGTATGACTTCTGATATAAAGGTTTTTCAAGATTCCGGATGAAATGACCTTTCTATGCTAATTCATTGAGGAATCTACTCTAAAGTTAAAACTTATATCATATTAAAACACATTTAATCAATATATCGTAAAAATTGGTTCAAAATGTAAAAAAATTATATTTAGCATCTTTCGTGAAACATTAATGTCTGTTTATTATTGTTTTTACATCAAACATGTTATTAGTAATTTAACATTATTTCAAATTAAATATGCTCAATTATTTTTATGTATTTAAAAATACAAATTCCTGTGTCTTTCTTGTTCTGATAATACCCTCCATTAACTGAATTCCGATTATCCATGATAGCTCCCCGAAAATAGTTATTTTTCACAAAATACGTAGTTAAGTTTCTATTATTTTTTGTATTTTACACAAAGAATGATGGATCTAAACATTATATAAAAGTGTATGATATTTTTATTCTTAACAAAACTATTAATAACTTTTGTGTACTTATTTCAAATTCGTCAATACGGGATCATATCTGCGACGAGGCATTTCTCTATATTGCGACGAGGTACCGAAAAAACGACTTTTTTGTTTACTTTTTTCGCATTTTCCTTAATAATAATTCATGGTGATAAATAGTTAAAGGGGTTTTTAATCTTTGTTATTTTCAACTTGTATTCTTTGGAATTTAGGTAATTTAGGTTTCTTTTTCCCCGGAATTAAATTATATATTTTTTTTTGTATCGCTTTATCTACTTACTATTTTGTATAACTTTATAACTGACTATTTTTAATATTTTACAAAAAGCAATGATGGATCTAAACATTATATTAAAATGTATGCTATTTTTATTCTAAACAAAATTATTAATGCCTTTCGCGTAATAATTTTAAATTCGTCAACTAGGGATCTTATCTCTGACGAGGTATTTTTCAAGCTTCTCGGTTAATCAAGAGAGCCTATACCTTGTGATACCGAAAAAACGGCTTGTTTGTTTACTTTTTTACCATTTTCTTAATAATAATCCTTGGTCATAAATAGTTAAAGGTGTTTTTAATGTTTGTTATCCTCAACTTGTACTTTAAGAAAATGTTTTGAAACATTCATAATAATTAAGTAAAGTAAGAAAAAAAGAGCTGTAAAGCTTTTAGAGTAAAATTATGTTCTCACTTAAGAACGAGATTTTTTCTCAAAAAAAAAAATCTTTAACTAAAAACGTATATTATACTTTGTATACGTATAATGTACTTTGGAATTTAGGTGATCTAGGTTTCTCTTTCACAGAAACTAAATTATATATTTTCTTTTGTATAACTTTATCATTGTCAATATACAATCTGACTCAGAGCTAGATGTCCTTTTATTACATTCATTGTCTGTTTGAACCAAAAAGGAGGCTTTGGCGAAGTAATATGGATCCAACTCATGGTTTTAAAGGCGCGTTGACTGAAATTGCGCCGCTTATGCGTTATGTGACGAGGAAAGCTACTCTTGTTAGCTAAAAGATATGAGGACGCGGATCAATAAGACCAAAATTTAAACTTCTGATGCTTTTATGCCACATTTTCATTATTTGTAGAAGAAAAATATGAAGCTTCCCATGTTAGCCCGACAGCTGTAAGACTTGGACCAATGGGAGCAAAATGTAAGCTTCTGATGCCATTATGCCATATTTTCATTATATGTCGAGGAAAATCACAAAACTCTTCATAAAAACGAGGCTTGGATCAATTGGACCAAAATCCAGGTTTTTAATACCATTTCTTAGCATTCACATTACCTTTAGAATCGATTCAACGAATCAATATGTCTTGTTCATAATTTTAAAACTGGTAAGTAAAATTATAATAAGTTAAAGATTATATGATGATTTTTTGGATGACTATGCATAATTTGTATTAATTAATTCAATAATAATTGAAAGAAAGCCAATTCTGAGGTATAACATTTTTGATATCAAACTATTTAAACTTACAAACAGATATCCAATGTATGGAAAAATTATTTGAATATTTTCGGAGAAATAACAATTTAAAACATTAGTTTATTAAAAAGAATATTATCTTTTAAATTGCTTTTTCCTTGAAAATAAATAAGCAAATAAATTATTAGCACATAAAATTTCATAGTTAAACACGATAAAAAATGGGTATACTTTATCATTGAAATTTTTAAATCTTTAAAAGTAAAGTAATAATAAATATATTCAAAACGTCAAGCGAGTTTTACAATTGTGATAAAATGAACGTAACTTTTCAGGTGGGAATTATCAAAATTTTGTACTCTTCATAAGAGTTTCTTCTCAAACACTTCTTTTGGTTTACAAAGACTTTATTTTTCAGTTTATATTGTTTGAAATAGATAACATTATTAACTTCTTTTAAAATAATGCCTTTAAATAATTCGATAGTAAGAACATTTTGTTAAAACTCATGTAAATGAGGAAGATGAGTTTTATTTACACACGTATGGGCAGAATACAATCGCAATCTTTAAGTGATGCTTTTTTTCACATTCTCAGATTACTTTATGTGATTTTAATTTGTAATGAGCAATAATGCAACGTTTGTTGCACCATAGATTCTCCTATTGAATTACTAGTTCTTGATGAACTAATAGTAACATTACAATTTAGTTTAGTAATTCTGTAATGAATTACAGATAAACTCATGACGAAAATACTACGTCATACAGGGAATAAGAAAAAACGCTTTAATAAATTTTTTGACCTAGCAAGCGAGTTGTCCGTCTTTTTATTATTAAGATTGGATCTTATTGCTAGTGGCTAAATTTTATTATGCGAATTAATTAGTAGAGACGATATTTAAAGTCACAAAAGTATACTGCCTCATTTTTTGGCAAAACTCAAATTCGAAAAAAGGGTCTCAATAAATTATGCAATTATGCAGGAGGGAGGTTAAGAGTTTAAACACTCGCAGAGTAGCATAAAGTTCTTTCTTAAGAATTATTTGACCGATTCATTTTGAATTTCGTCATATAAAAAACGATGCAATAATTTGTACATTTTATTGAACTTTTTTATTCTCTTTTAAGAGTAATTATAAAATGACTGAAAAAAATTGGTTTTTTAAAAAGAAATTTTTGGAAAAACTAGTTTTGATTTGTGCTCAAAAAACTTTTGTTTCAAGTCATTAGTTTCATAGATTTGGTGATTAGTATTAAGGGGCCTAAACTTTCGATCGCTGTTTTATTGGACCATTTTTAGGTTTCACTTTGCGTTTACCCCTAATGCTTTGAGAGTTAAAAAACAAAATCCATCGAAAAAAAGTATGTTAATTTAAAGAAAGTATATTTTATGTCTAATTTTGCAACTTAAATTACGTCCGCTGAAATATTTTAAAATATTGTAGATTAGTTTCTAGGATCATCAAAATTGAACTCCAGAATGCGAAAATTCAATTATTTGACAAGAACTTACTAAGATGTTTTCTCTTTTATTTTGCCTACTGTACAATAATAATTACATTTAATTGTTAAATTTTTAGTAAAACTGGAGGAAATTTAAAACTTTTATTATGTCTACAAGTTCAAAAAAGCCATCGTTTTGCAGAGAGTACTATTTAAAGTTTTTAAAATCTTATTTCATCGATGCTAATGAATTTCACTAATTAGATACATTACAAAATTGAAAAAGAGTGTCAACTATAGTTTCATTATAAATGAGTCCTGAAAGGAATGGAGGAAAATAATTATAACACTAAAGTTTTATTGTAAATGAATACTTAAAGCAGTTATCACTTAAAAGCATGTTTTTTAAATGAATAACTGAGGAGAACATTTAAGGAGAATTAAACTCGTGTTAAAGAACAAGAAAACCAGCATTAAAATGAAACATTTTTATCTTGGTATAGAATAATTTATAGTTTCAGCACAGTTGTATAATTCCTTGTTCTTATGAGATTGGTATGCATGTAAGCCAAAGTGTATTACTTTTATAAGTATACAAAATATTCAAGTTGATTCTTGAAGTGTACAAAATATTAAAAATAAAGAAGTGTTACTTTTTAGTAAATTTAATTGAATTAAAATTGCTACGAATTTATAGCAACACGGTAAAATATAATTTGTTGAAAACTAGCTTAAATTATTTGTATCCATAGTTTTTTCCGAAAACTTTTTTTATTTAGCATCACAAAATAGTAAATGAAAGTAGAAAATATACATTTCAAAACTTTATTATCAAAAAAAAAAAAAAATTATTATTATTCACTTTATTGTTTCAAAATCTGAAAATTTCTAATGCTTTAAAGTTCATAAAGTTATGTGTTTGGCTACCTTTGACATGCCAAAATAAACCTTAAAAGTCGCAATAAATCAGAAATTTAAATAGTCATTTATCATATCACGTGTTATTTATCATTATACTATGTATTTTGTCAAATTAGAAAAAACGAAAAGGCAATGAATAAGAAAATAAGAGCAAATTTGACGAACTAATTTTTTTCACGCAAAATATTTTGCGTGACAGATTTTTTTTTTTAAAAGAAAAGAAGAAGAAATAAAAGAAGAAATTTATGAGAACTCACTGTCTGAAGCGCCAATTCGTCCAACGAAGTAAAACAGAACTATAAAGAGCAACATCTTTTCGTCCGATATCTATGAAGCCGGAGTTAATACTCCCGGAGTCCGTAAACTGGGAGCTTTTGTTATACCTTGCGCACGCGTACCTTTCAAATGACAGCCCCCATAACTTTTCCCAAAACAAAGTTTTCTTGGAGATGGAAAACCTTAACTTGATGATTCATTTAAGAAAACAACCTGTGACATAAATTTGTTTCTGTAAGTTATAAATTAGTCTTTACCATAAGGATGCGTGTATTTTTAATAAATATTTTTCATGTACTTCTAGTTTATATTAAGAGTTAACATTTTATTAAAAAATATAAAATTTAATGCTTAAATATATGTCATTGTGCTTTTAAATCTTTGGATGTAACTTAATAAAATTAGGAAAATGCTTCAATGTTTCAGTCAATAAAATAGCGAGTTGTTAAATTCAATAATAAAATGAATTATTCTGATCTATAAGTGTGTATTGGAAAAAATATCGCATAACTATTTAAAGTTGAATTTTTTCTTCATACTTAAGCGAAATTAATTTAGCACTTTAAAAAAATTGAACGCATTTATTGCCAAAAAAATACTTTTATTCACGAAAAACTGAACAAATTACGAAAAATAATTTTAGAGTAAGAAATTTTATTGTAATACAAAATTATACATAGCGTGATGTGAAAACTTAAAGCAATAGTTAAACACTGATCTAAATTTATAGCTTGCATTTTTAAACTGAAAAATCTTGATATGTCGGGAGCATAAGGGATGATTAAATTAATTTTTCTGTAAAAAATATGACGTTTTTGAACAAACTTTATAACACCTAAAAACCTGTCTTAATTTTGTTAAAAGATACCAATAGACATTGTAACTTTTTCTAAAAGTAGAGAATCAAACTTTTGACTTTTGGTTATTTGGAGTTTTTTTTTTTTTTTTTTTTTTTTTGAAGCATTAAAAAGCGGTCCTTGACTCTTCAATTTAATTAAAATTAAATTTTATTTAATTAAATTAAGTGATCACACCGAGGAGAAAATTCTGGTAAAATTGTCGTACTGTATGATAATTACATTTCCTGCTAAAAAAAAGAACGTAATTCTTCTGGTTAATAAAACCAAAATATACGATATTTAAACCATTCTTGTAGTAATTTTTTCGTTCTGACACAGTTAAACGGAAATTCTCCTTTTTAAAGTTATAGTTCTTATAGCTCCACATTTAGAAAAAATACGAAACTGGCAAATAAATGTAACCGAGTGAATGGTTTTTATGCCATGCTCGAATATATCATGATAAAATCACCAAATTTTTCCATACTTACCTCTCCTTCATCGCATATTATAAAACCATATTTTATTGTTAGTTTTACCGAAATCGTTACGAAAGCGCTTCTCTAAAAAGTGCCAATATTTTGGGTATTCCTCTAGAGTCAGAAACACGGTAGATTTTATCATATTCCGGTAGTTTTGACCATAATTTTTCTTCTCAGTGCAGGAATTAGCATATATTTAAAGTTATTATTGATCCCCTTCAGGATCATTGTTTCTGTACAAATGAACGTCACATATATTAAATAAATGACAAAATATCAATTTCAATTATTTAGTGATAATATAATAAGTTTATTAAGATAGGTATGCCCTTTATGCTATTTATATTTTCTTATAAATTTTCTAATTTTTGCTTCTTTCTTTAAAAGTATCTTTCGTTTTTCTTTCTGCAAAATTCCTTGTTTCTTAAAGTTTTCTAAGGAATCGTTTTCGCGTGTCACAAGAAAGAGACAAACTGCCCTTGTTCATGATGTTAAATGTTGCGTTTAAGGCATGATCTACAAGGAATTCCAAAGTCATTCATATATATATATATATATATACACACACACA